ATGTTTCTTATTGCTTAATCCATTTGGGTCACGTGGCCTTTGCCGCTCGTTTGCCTCGGCTACAGTCTACCTCACTGAAACGAAATGATCGTGAGGGTCTGGGAAAAAGCCGTACAGGAGCTTGGAAACCCAGAGTCTTCGTTCCCCTCGTCCAGTGGTCGGGAAACGGGCTCGCTTTACTTCGGGTCATTACTCGGAATACCGAGCTATAAATCGTAAATGGTTTGAACCCAGGAGCCATATTAGGGCGGGCTAGAAGCGCAAGCCCTTCCCAAAATGCAGCGCGTCAAATTTGCGCGAGTTTTCACAGATGTAAACAAAACCTTTTCTTAATTCAGGCTCACTCTCGATTCACTCGCCGGTTTTCACTTGATTGCTACTTCGATTTGATTCATTGTTGTGATCTCAAGGTTGGGTGTATCTTCTGTTCATGCCTTAAGGAACATGTAGAGTAAGATTTTAATGTTTGTAAATGTTTATGTCAATCTTTTATTTTTGTCGTGAAAGTTCTCAATTTCTGCCCTTAGGCGAAGTGGCTGTCATCCCGTAAAATGCCATATAGATTATAACCGAGTGTCAACTTATTCCTTGTGTGATTTGCAGACAAATTCTATAAATTGCTGCTTAACTATATAGAAGATCTTAAAGTCGCTTGATCTCAAATTAACCTAACTGTTTGATAAGTAAAAAGCTAACACCGAGTCGAGTGTCTTTTCACTAGGTTCCTTTCGCCGTTTAGGAAATGAAGAAGAAATCAGGCGGACGCAAATATACTTTGGTGTTTGTGACATGAGTTTTAACGTTAGGCTTTGACATAATATTGCTGAAACCATGTAGTTTTCATAAGGGAATGAGACAAATAATTTTAGATGGTATTATGTCAAACATTATCGCGGTTTTTCCTTTTTTTTCTCAACAGCATAATATTTCACTCGCTCCCACAAGATGGCTGTCATCTCTGAAAGTCAGGGCAACCCTAAAACACGGAAACCGGAATCCGGAATCCGGAAACCGGAAACCAGAATCCAAAAATTAAAGAAAACAAGTTCTTTAAATACGCGAAAGTAACTTTGCATAGCTTTTGCCTGTAAAAGTTAAGACGCCAAGTAAAAAGGAGCTCAAACTTTACCTTTTTCGTGCAACCGTTATTCCTAGCTAGTGAGGGCCATGATTATGAGAATCTAAGTAGCGTGGGTCCTAATTTGATTCTAAGCACCCTGACAGCGTCTAAAATAAGCTTCCTGGTGATTGCCATTTGTTTAATAAGTGATCTGCAATTTGATGGAGGTATAAGTTTGGCCTTTATGTCTAGCAGATACTGAACAAGGTAGAAAATGTCCGTAGAGAATAGGGTCTCCGTCAGTGGCAGCTACCTATACATCGATGGTCACGCCATCCACTTTCGATGTCCAAAAGTTAACCTCACTAGTTTAAATAAGTTTGTTTTTCCCAACAGATACGAGACTAATTCCAGATCAACACCATTTCCACACCACTAATACTGTTACAAATCACCACTACATAAGCTTGTCGGCAGTCATATTAAAACAATTTATGGAAATGTTGCACACGTACTTCCGTCTGCTTCTCGCTTGTGAACGGATTGGACCACAAGTTGTTAAAAGATGTGCTACTCACCAGTCTTCTCAGAGCAATTTGATCTAGACAAGAACTGCGCTCTCACCTGAGGGCAAGATTGATTAAAGGATGGGTAACTTAGCCTGCGAGAAGGCTCTCGTGCTTGAGCTGGGGGCGCGAGGGGCGAAGCCGCGAGAAAACATTCGCTCACATGCCAAAGCAAACACCAAGAAAGCAGCGCTTGAGCGTGACACTTGAGCCTGTTCGCAGGCTATGGGTATCCACCCAAAAAATCACTAACCCTGAATGGATATTGATTTACCCAATGTATACATGAAGCTTTATCCAGCTTTTGAACAACTGGGCGGGATGTATAGCTAGGGGTTGTTCAAAACTAGACAATAAATAATAACAAAATAACTTTATTTATCAGTTTAATTTATTATTTCTATCATCATTCATAATATCTGGATGTCGGATGCCGGATGCCGGATGCTGAATTCCATGTTTTAGGGTTGCCCCTCTTTGATTCTTGAATTGCAAAATGTCAAGTTTCGTGTCATCTGTTCCGTTGCTTTGACCAGAGGTTTATTTTAAAGAGAATATCCATTGCCATCCCGCTTTCATCATCAGAGATATCAACAGCTGTCGAAAAAGCTATTCAAAAGGCCGTTTAAAATCCAGGGAGAGCGACCACTGCTGTTTTAACAGACAGATTGCTTAAAAAAAGAAAAAAAAAAATACAGATTGCTTTTAAAATGCTGGAAATCCATCACAAAACACTCCGGCGACACTCCGCCATCTTTAACTTACACGTTGAAAAGTCGGCGGTTAGCTTCTTCTAATTCGGAATACGTCATGTATGGTGATACAAATTGTACCGCTTAATATCGTCCAAGATGACGGAATGTGTTCTGATGTGCGTTGAAAGAAATCTGTATCCTATAACAGCTGTGATCGCTCTCCCTGGATTTTAAAAGGCCTTTTGAGTAGCTTTCTTGACAGCTGTTGATATCTCTGATGATGAAAGCGGGATGGCAATGGATATTCTCTTTAGACCTCGGGTCGAAGCAACGGAACAGATGACACAAAACCTGGACATTTCACAATCCAAGAATCAACGAGAGCGCAAAGGCGCGTCTAAGTGACATGTATGTAGTACTTATTTCTTGTTTCTATTCTATTTTACGCCTGAAAACCTAAGTTGAGGGATCTTATGCGTTGAATCTTCTTTTGCCGCGTTTTATCGATATCCGTGAGAATGCCACAAAATGTAGTTCTGAAAATATTTGAAAGAAATGTCTCAAGTGCTTCCTTTCGCCGAATTTATACTGGAAATTGATAGGAAAATACTTAGGTAGACATTTCTTGTTGATTTCGAGTTAGGTTAAGACAGAAAAAATGGCTTTTGTGTTTTAGTGGATGTTCATGAAATGGCCAAAATGTAAACAGTACCCCCAAACATTTTATGGCTTTTTTGATTGCTCTCACTATTCATGTGAGAATAATGTGTAGTTGCCGTTCCCCGGTGCAGATATTTGCCATCAATTAAAGGCTATTTACAACACTACGAAATATGCACCTTACTTAAGATGGAGCCACGGAGAGAAATCAAATTGCCTCATTTAAATGGATATCTGTGCTTTGAGACTGGTAAGAGTAGAACATGATCCAGTGGATGTCATTTTCACATGGCCTTTTTTGTTGTAGAAATACTAAATCAAAGACAGCTAATTAAATATGCATAAATTAGTGACAAACGGCCATTTTTGGAGGGGGTCCCCCTAACTTGAAGGGNAACCCTTATGTGAACTTGTTTACTAAGATGGTAATTTTAGAAGTTAATATGTAGATCAAAATAGGAAAGCTGTGACTGGTCGTTAAATAGTAATTAGAGTTCTTTTGCAGGTGAGCAGCTTTCAGAACAGCCTGGTGTAGATACGTAGAAGACAACACAAGGAGAAGTAGCGGATGAATCCTTATTCCAGGCCGGGGAAACTCGAAAAATAATCAACAAGGAAAATTGAAATAAAAAGTTAAAAAACAAAATAAATAAAGTTGCATTCATTAAAGTTGCATATTTCTATATCTCGTACACGAGAACCTGGTTTTGGCGGGAGGCGTAAGGTTTTCATCAAAAAAGAAGGAAGGGTTTGCAAGAAGGAAGGGTTTATGACTCTGTCCGAGCCAGATATTTTGTGAATTTTCGCTCCGTTGTGCATTAACACTTCTGCGATCGAGTTAATATTCTCTGGAATATTCTCTGTTTATCTTTTTAGTGACAAGGACATCATTTACATTTTCTCCACTGCTTTTGGCATATGTTTACATAATTTAAGTTGAGAGAATTTGTAAATTGGTCGATATATCTCTTATATGAGAAGACAATGTTTTTTTGATGGTTATAGGTTGTGTGTTTTTCTGTATTAACCTAACTCGAAAACAACAAGAACTAGATAATCATTTTCCTATCGATTACGAGTCAAAATTCGGCGAAAAGCAGCACTTGAGACACATCTTTGAAATAGTTTCGGAACTATATTTTGTGTCATTCTCAAAAAATATCGAAATATCGATATAAATATTGCAGCAGAAGATTCAACTCACAGGTTTCATCAACTTACGCTTTCAGGCGTAAAATACAATTGAAGAAAAAAGATAATCACGACATAAAGGTCACTTAGAGGACAGAAAAACGGCTTTTGTGTTTTAGTCGATGTTCATGAAATGGCCATAAATCGTAAAATCCCATGCAAGCAACACGCCAGCACAAAGTCCACAAACATTTTATGGCTTTTTTCAGAATTATAGTGATTGCTGTCATTATCTATGCTAGAGTAATGAGCATTTGCTGTTGCCCATTGCAGATATTTCCCATAACTGAATTTTAAAAGGCTATTCTCAACACTACGAGGTCCCTTACTTAAGATGAAGCCACGGGGAGAAACGAAATTGCTTAGTTCAAATGAATATCTGTGCTTTGAGACTGATAATAGTAGAACAGTGGGTATCATTTTCACATGGCCTTTCTTATTGTAAAAATACTAAACCAAAGACAACCAGTTAAATGTGCATAAATTAGTGTCAAATGGCCATTTTTGGAGGGGGCCCCTAGCTTGAGAGGAATAAAATATTTTTGATCTACTTTTTTGCCATAATCAGCCTTCACCAAACCTAACATTTGTGGTGAAATCGGTGATTTGAGCTGTATCACCTCCTACCTAGTTCTACCTGGTTTTCTCATGGACACACTCTTAGACATAACTCGGCTCTTGGAAAATGAAAATGTGTCTCCTGCTTCGTACTATACAGCGACTTGAGCAGTAGGCTAGCGCTCACACATTCATTCACCCATGAACTCGTACCACATCCCCGTGCAATAGATATGGAAATGAACAACACAAAAATATTATAACTGATAGCATTATTGCCAATAACCCCAGTTTATTCAATTTAAGTTGATTAAGTTTCATTTTTCTTTTTGTTCTTGTGAGATAATTAAGAGCTCCCCCAATTTATGTCTCCCTTGTTATTTCCTCTTTTGTTGTCTTCTAGGTCCATGTCCTCACTAGGTAGTTCTGAAAGCTCCTGAAGACCTAGGAAGAAATTAAACGCAAAAGCTATTCAGCAACCAGTCCACACAGCTTAGAAATTCGGCTTAGCATGGAGTCAATATGCCCAAGCTAGCCAGAAATTGTTGACGTGCTGGATTAAAAATTAAACGAGAATCCGAAAACTCCGCCTATGCGACCAGCTACGTCGTCTTTCAAGTTTTTAGTCTTTCAATTTTTTGCTTAATAGTGTCAATAAAAGTCGTAGCTCTTTTAATCGGTTAGCTGAAGTATTTGTTACAAAGATACCTTCGATGTTATCTTCTATCAATTACGACATCTTGTTTGTCTCTATCCAATTCACGTAGTTGGACACACGAGCAAACACAGTGTAGTACTCTGTGAGACACATGTATGTTCCCCAGCTGACTACACCTCGCAAAACCCACTTGCCATTTTCTTCACAAACAAGAGGTCCTCCACTATCTCCCTAAAAATAGAGTAAAAATACTCAAAAATTTTAATGTAAAACGAGGAAATCAAATACTCAAAACTGTTATGAGAAAAGAAAGACTAAGACAAGTATATTTTTAATCTCATTAGTCGTGAAAGAAGCTGATTATACAGAACTCTGGGCTCACACGTTCTTAAAAGGGAAGAGCAGTTGAGTGAACGAGTGGAAGAACGAACGAAGGACGGACAGACGGACAAAGCGACCGACCGAAATGGAGGCAACGAACGGTTGACTTGTCGCTAGTGGAGGTCAGCCAGTAAATCGGACGACAATTTCCACAGAATTCATTGTAATTTAGAAGAATCGATTTTCAAGGCCAAAAGGTTTGAAGATAACATAAAGAAATTTTGGCTTTTGAAGGTGTCAATATGCAAGGAACCCGCGCATCTTACAGGTCTTGAATAAACATGCATTGTAGTTGTTGGTCTAAATGTTGGTGTCATGTTATGGAGATTTTACGATCGTTTTCCTCATTTTCAGAAATTTGTTTGTTTGATGCGAAGTAAACATTTTTTCACCTGACAACCTCCTTTGCCCTGGCCCCCAGCACACAACATTGGTCCTTTGTAGACTTTTGACACAGGTTGCATTTTTCTGCGGCATGTTGTGTGATCCGCCACTGGAAGCACTGCTTGTTGCAATACATCCGCTGCATCTCCCCCACCGATTGTACGTCCCCACCCTGAAAAATAAATGGAAATAAAAACAAACAAACCATAAACGAGAGTCTGGGTGGAGTTAAACTAATAGCGGCAAATTGGTCAGAATTTTAGTTGCCATCTGATAAATGACGTGTCAGTTGACGACTCCATTATTCACTAAGAATAAGCTTAATTAAGCTGAGAAATCACCGAACATTTATACCAAAAGTTCGGAATATTCTGGATCATCCCTGGAGGTGGTCCACTTCGATCGGTAAGACCGGTCGGACAGAAATTTGCCGTTCTGTTTTGACAAACCAGGGAGCGCGGAGGGGAGGGGCTGGTGGGGCTATAGCCCTACCACTTTTATAGCTGGGATTTATTTCCTAGGGCTCCAGATGGCGCGCAAGATAAATGGCGAAACACTGACGTTTGTTTGTATTGTCTAGATTTTTTAGCCTTACCACTTTGAAATGGTCTCCGCGGTCCCTGCAAACCGGTTCATTGCCCTACTTCGCTTCAGTAGATTTCACTCATGTAAGGAATTCGAGCAAGGAATAAAAAATAGTAAGAGCCATTCTTCTGATCTTGGTACCTGTTGGCCCGGTTTGATCGGAAACTCGTTCTATTTTTTCCTCGGGTGTTCCCACTGGTCTCTGGACCAGTCTGTCTGGCATAATGGAAAGCACCCTAGGGCTCCACCGACCCCATCAGACCTTTTGGAAGAGACATTGATCTTCAATAAAGTGGCCCTTAAAGAGTCCTAGCACTTCATCATATTCAGCTCCCTGTTTCCTGCATGAGAGAAGTGCTCCCCTGTAATCTTTCAGATCCTTGGCGATCATAAAAAACCCTGCCAAATATGTGAGGCCACCCAAACAATCATTCTGAGCCTATTTGTACACTGGGATTGAGAAACACATTGTAACAATTAAATGTTTGACCGGTACACAGAACACATGCACCTGAACTGGGCTCCAGCCAGCCAGTTCCTCTCCGATCCATTAAGGGGCAAAGTTAAGTCAAGGCTTTGACAAATATATGTTCATGCATTTATAGCGGCCCGAATGGCGGATAAGCGGAGCACCATGGTTAAACTGTTGTTATCAGGGACAGAGCGCGGTCGGGTTGTTTGGAGGCCGGTCAACGCTAACCCGGAATTAAAAGTTAAACAAAGTATTAATTTTTCTTGTGTAAATGTCTAATGTTTTGGGTAGTTTGAGATTATTCAAAATCAAAACAAAAGGCCAAACAATATAAAGAGAAAACTATTACTTTACCAGTGATAAAACAGTCTGTTCCTGGCGAAATCTGATCTTGGCTATTTTCCGGAAGACAGACTGTGTTGACCTCGTCACTTGGTGTGATCGGCGTCTCAAGTTCTAACAATGCAACGTCATGTTTCAGTGTGTTACTGCTGTACTCGCTGTGATATGTAACTTTTATCACATTGATTGTTTCTTGAACCGACGCCGATGAGTTAGAACCCTCACGGTAATGGGAACCTGGAGTTAAAATGATAAAAAGAGTTTAGTAGGCAGATAGGCAGACAGTAAGGAACCAAGAAAACATGCTATCAAGCAAGCAAGCAAACGCTCAGGCAAACAGTCAAGCCATTGAGAGACCATGAAAGAATGAAAGCACTGAAGCGCAAGGGAGAAATTGAAGTAGGGAAACATGGAAGCAAGGGAGCTGGGGGGGGGGGGGG